CGCAAAGGTTTTTATAGCATAAACGCTATGGTAGCAAGTGCAATATAACTGCATGACCTTATGATCACTGAATTAACTACATATTCTTTCAATTCAGATTTGTGAGCACAAAATGCGAGTACGGTTTATTGATGCTAGATATCCAGGTGCTAGTCATGATGCGCATATATGGGGTATCAGTGAAGCGAAGCCATAATGCAGCGAAGTTATTTAAGTGGCGAACGAAATACGCTTTTGGGTACAAATTTGATGAGAGATGTGGAATTATTTTTACAACTTGCATTTTTTAGGCGATATGCATTGGAACCGTACCTAATGACCACATTTCGAGCGTTCCCACGACAGTCGGGTCTACGTAACCGGAACGACCCAGATTTATATCTGGCCAAGGACTGTCACTCCAGCAACACTCCCCAAAAAGTCTTTGGGGAATTTGTATGCTGCTACAACAACAACAACAACCACATTTCGAGCTTCAACGAACAATACTCCACAGAGCAACTACAACTCAGTGCACGCTAAAGCAAGGAATATAGTGGAACGAACATTCGGAGTACTGAAAAATCGGATCCGTTGCCTATTAAGTCAATTGCACTACGACCCCCATAAGGCAACTGTCATTGCAAATGTATGTGCAGATTTGCATAACATTTGCATATAATGCGGCGCACCAAATCCTATAATGGAGTCTCCACCTTCAGACCCACGAGCAAATCAATTCACTGCAAGTATTCGAATGCAAATTATGGATTCACTTAACCAATGACGTAGCGATGGCTTAAGTTATCCTAATTTTACTAAACTAGTCAGCTTTAAAAATGTGAATAAAACTCAAATGGCTTTGTTTATGTGCGCATTTTTTTACATAATGCAGAGCTAATGAACATGTTCAAAGTAAAAAGTGATCAGCTAATTAAGTCATCAACGTTTTGATCAATTTTGACCATTTTTCCTTTGTTTATTATTTTTCCATAAAAGTCTATCTGATTATGTAACAAATACTATATTCAAACTTTGTGCGACAATTATAAAAAATCTGCAACGTTTCAGCTAAATTTTCAACTTTTTCAGATTTTAGAATTTTTTTTGAGTACGCAGTTTAACAGCTCATTACATTCTAGGGCAATGTGTGCAAGTTTTAAGTTGCTAAAGAATCGCGTTGATTTTTAATAATTTTTTTTTCCGACTGCGTGACGGATTTTTTTTATATTTTGTACGGAAAAAATTCTTTAGCAACTTAAAGCTTGCACACTATTCTTCTTTTTTGGCACTGTAACCGCCTAAGCGATTTTGGCCGAGTTCAGCAAAGCACGCCAGTCGCTTCTCCTCTGTTCCAACTGACGCCAATTGGAAACGCCAAGTCAAGCCAAGTCCTTCTCCACCTGATCTTTCCATCGCAGTGGGGGCCTCCCTTTTCCTCTGCTACCACCAGCGGGTTCCGAGTTGAATAATTTCAGAGCTGTAGCGTCGGTGTCCATTCGAACGACATGGCCAAGCCAGCGGAGCCGCTGTATTTTAATTCGCCGCACTATGTCCATGTCGTTGTAAAGCTCATACAGCTCATCGTTCCATCGTCTGCGGTACTCGCCGTCGCCAACGCGTAAAGGCCCGTAAATCTTCCGCAAAATCTTGCTCTCAAACACTCCAAGAGCCGCCTCATCGGATGTTGTCATTGTCCATGCTTCTGCGCCATATACCAACACGGGCATGAAGAGTGACTTANGCCGTATGAGTTTTGAGGGGATGCCAAATTCAGACATAGCGGCGTATAGGCAACTCCTTTTAGTGCTGTCAAAAGCGGCTTTAAAGTCGACAAATAGGTGGCGAGTGTGGATCCTTTTCTCGCGGGTCTTTTCCAAGATTTGGCGTATTATGAATACTTGGTCTATGGTGCATTTGCCAGGTCTAAAGCCACACTGATAAGGCCCAATCAGTTCATTGACGGTGGGCTTCAGTCTTTCACGCAATACGCTCGACAAGACCTTGTAACCTATGCTTAGAAGGCTGATCCCGCGGTAGTTGGCGCGAATGGCTAAGTCACCTTTCTTGTGGATTGGGCAGAGCACACTTAAATTCCAGTCGTCGGGCATGCGTTCATCTGACCATATTCTGCACAAGAGTTGATGCATGCACCTTATCAACTCCTCGCCGCCGTACTTGAATAGCTCAGCTGGCAGGCTGTCAGCTCCAGCGGCTTTGTTGTTTTTCAGCCGCGTTATTGCTATACGTACCTCGTCATAGTCAGGCGGTGGAACGTCGACTCCGTCATCATCGACTGCGAGCTCGGGTTCTTCTTCTCCACAACTTTCCGTGCTGCTACCATTTAGTAGGGCGGAAAAGTGTTCCCTCCATAATTTAAGTACGCTCTGGACATCAGTTACTAGGTCGCCATTATTGTTCTTACAGGAGTACGCCCCGGTCTTGAAACCTTCCGTAAGTCGCCTAACTCACTGGTAAAATTTTCGGACATTCCTCCTGTCGGCCAGCATTTCAAGCTCTTCGCACTCACGTATTTCGGCCTCTCTCTTCTTGTTGCGGCAAATACGTCTCGCTTCCCTCTTCAGATCCCTATAGCGGTCCCACATAGCGCGCGTTGCGCCCGATCGCAGCGTGGCCCTGTAGGCGGCATCTTTTTTCTCTGCAGCTTCCTGACACTCCTCATCGTACCAGTTGTTCTTTCGTTCTCGCTGAAATCCGACTACTTCTTCGGCGGCGGTACTTAATGAGCGGGAAATGTGGTTCCACTGCTCGCATATGTCGGTTTGTTGAAGAGTGCTCTCTGAGAGCAGGTGTGAGAGTCGAGTAGCGAAAGCGCTGGCTGTCTGTTGTGATTGCAGCTTTTCGATGTTAAGCCCTCCTTGTATATTTGGGCGCACATTTGCTGCTGCACAGAATCGGGTGCGTATCTTGGCTGCAACAAGATAGTGGTCCGTCAGCTTTTGATGTCAGCTTTTGTCCTCACGAG